ATTTCAAGATCTTTGAACTCAAACTTAGAATCACTATTCTTTACGTTATTATTTGTAACAATAATATCTTCTACATGTACAATAAGGATGATTATAATACCTTTATGATTTGATTTCGCAAATGAAGTGTGATTAACCTGACACTGATAGTACCCATTGGCAATAATAGCTTTGGTGATTCTCTTAGACCATGTTACGAGAGATTATTTCAATCTATGCAATAATTTCCTTAGTTTGCACACCAACTAATTATTTGTGTTGTTCTTTAACCTTAGAGGTATCTCCATATGCATTTTTTTCTCAAGATCCTCATTAAGAAATGCATTTTTAATGTCTAGCTAATATAAATGTCAGTTCTGGTTGACAACCAATCATAGTAATACTCTTACTATGTTAAGTTTCACCACTGGTGAAAATATTTCTTCGTAATCAATTCCAAAAGACCGAGTGAACCTTTTTGCTACAAGTCTTGCCTTGAACATTTCCTTGCTCTCATCAACTTTGTATTTGATTGTGAATATCTATTTGCACTGTACAATTTTTTTTCCCAAGTGACAGAGTTGTTATAATCCAGGTGCCATTCTTTTCAAGAGCAAGAGTTTCTTCTTCAACATTCTTTATACAAGGAGGAATATATAAGTTCTCTTGAATTGTATTTGAGGATAATAATTTTTCATATGTCACAAATTCTTCTATTGGATATTTTTTGCATTCTTGTGCTCTTTATTTTCCTGTTCATGATGTGTTTACCAAACCTCTTTGTTAATAGATCATGTTGTCTCTTACATGCTCACTGGGTTTTTCTTTCTGGTGTACACATGTTTTTGGTTCTTATTGGGAGCTATGAGAGAATTTAGTAGAATAATATGCTTATTCTTAGGTTGATTTGTCATAGTGGGCAAGTGTAGGATCATCAAGGAAATAAGAGAGGGGAGCTTGAGGTTTATGAATGGTATTCCAAAATTGATATTCTCTCCAAATCTCCACCTGAATCTTAGATTTGGGGTAACATGGTTAGTTTTCAAAGAATGTGACATCTATAGAGTTACATAATTTTTGTGTTTATGGATAGTAGCATTTATACCCCATTTTGTTTGATGATTAACCCACAAAGATGCATTTGCTTGACTTGAGATCAATTTTGGTGTGCTTAGATTGATACAGATCAAAAAAATCGATGCAATAAAAAAATTTTAGTGGTAGGTTACATATGAATGACTAAATATGTGGGTAAAATTTTATCAGGTTGTTGAGAGATTTGTTAAAGTTTAGCACTGTGCTGGACATTCTAGTTATGACTGAATTGCATCCCGCAGATGTGTTTGTGACATTCCTAGTGAATAGTATTGACCGGGCCACTTCGAGGAGATTGTTCTTTCTCCTAGCCACATTATTTTATTGGGTTGTGTCAACACAAGAGCTTATATAAATAATGTGATTTTTGGATAGCAAAGGGCGGAGAGTGGAGTTGTAGTAGTGTTTTGCATTATTATTATTGAAAATTTGAATTTTGCTCTGAAATTGGGCAACGATAATGTTGTGGAAGGTTTAAAATATGATGACAGTTTTAGATTTTTCCTTCATGAGATTTTGCATTATTATTATTGAAAATTTGAATTTTTCTCTGAAATTGGGTGACGATAATGTTGTGGAAGGTTTCAAATATGATGACAGTTTTAGATTTTTCCTTCATGAGAGATATCAAAGTGATTTTGGTGTGATCATTAGTGAGGTGACAAACTACCTTACCCCATTTGTATCTTCTATTTTTAGGGCCCCTAGATATCACTATGAACCATGAAGATGAGATTCGCTGGTTTGTATTTCATGCTTGGATACACTTGACGAGTATGTTTAGCAAGTTGGAAAGTTTCACACTAATAAGAATTACACTTTTTATTGATAAATAATTAGGGATATAATTTTCTAATATAATAGAAGTTAGGACGCCCAAGACGAAAATATCATAACATAGCTTGACTCTCATGTGGTGGGCTTATAGCCTACAAGTCCGACGATTGGAACCAGATTTTACCATGTATAATTTAAAGGAAAAACTCTTCCTCTTTCTCATTAAACAAATAACAAATGTATATACAACATAGACTAACCCTCATACAATTGGAAGGAAATTCAAATTATCATGATAAAAAGGAAAAAAATAAAAACATAATAATTGATAATTAAGGGAGAATAGTTGGTCCCCTTAAATGTAATAGGCAAACGACGATTTCCTAAAATTGATATGCATATCAACAATTACGAATTCATGATGATGCCATTTGGCTTACAAATGCAACTTCCACCATCTAATTCATCACGATCCCATTGTTAAACCTTTTTTATGCAAATATGTAATCATTTTTTTTTTTCATGATATCTTTGTCTATAGTGGTATCATTAAGTACCATATTACTCACTTGCGAACCTTCTTTCGCTTGATATGGTCAAAACCCTTTCTTTAATGAAGTTCCAAATGCTCTTCTAGGCAATGGACATAGTATCAATAGGATTCCACCCAAAACATTATAAGATCAATGCCATACTATAATGGCATGCTCCTAGAAATGTCAAGGCCCTTCACATCTTTCTTTATCTTGGCAAGATATTACTGTCAATTCAGCCGCAACTTTGTCACCACCACTGAACCTCTTGCATTGTGATGGTTTCCATTGGACAGCTCAGGCACAACCACCTTTTGATTATTTTCAAAAAGCCTTGGAAAATCCCCCATTATTGGCATTCCTAGATTTTAGACAGCCCTCATCTCTAGACACCGCTGCTATTCGCCAGCACAAATAGCCTATCACTCTTTACAGTACAACAACAACAACAACAAAGTCTTAATCCCACTACGTGGGGTCGGCTACATGAATCGTTTTTCTCCATTGCGTCCTATCACTCTTTACAGTAAAAACCTTAATTCAAAAATGCAATTTGAAATGATATATGTCCGGGAAATATTTGCCAATACAGAAGTAGTGTTGCTATGACTATAATGTATGTCCAGGTCTAAGTTCACCAACAGGACCAATAAAAAAGTATCTAAGAGCTGATGTCTGGAAGAACAATGTTTTTTTCTAAAATTATTGGGTTATGAATCTATTGCTGAATATAACAAAGGGAGCACCAATAATGTGGTTGATGCACTATCCAGACTTATTGAAATTGTTCTCTCACATTCACACCACCCTCTAGGCCAATCTTAACTCTTTTTTAACAATCAAGTAAGAAACTGAAACTGGCTCAAACCCAAAGCGCTTTCAATTATAAGAACATATTGCCAACGTCTAGAACTTTTTTAACAATCAAGTAAGAAACTGGCTCAAACCCAAAGCACTTTCAATTATAAGAACATATTGCCAACGTCTAGAAATCCATTTTTAATACCGACATGGGATGGCTTGCTATTTAAAATTGGACACATGCAACATGCTTATTTCACTCTCAAATAGGAACTGCCATAGCAATACCCCAATCATGTGATTGGCTGCCGTGCATGGATTCGTTGAAATTTTACTCAGTTTCGATAATAATTTTACCATCTGCATATGGAACATGGCGACTACACCTTCATACAAAGTTGTCCAATTTGCTAGACAATTGAATACCAACTGTTACCTTATGCGGGTGTTTTATAACCACTTCTAATACATGCATCAACTTGAGAAGATTTGACGATAGATTTGTGTGCATACCTCAAGCTCAAGTCAAAGCCATCATCATGATGATTGTTTATTGCGGACTATATATATGCACATTTGATTGCTATATTCACTTTCTTTACTGTGTTATGCATCACATTGGTTTTCATTGTTGAGATATGACGCCTTCATGGCATTTTAAATACAATTGTTTCTGACTGAGATCTCATCTTCTTAAGCACATTTGGGCGAGTTCAATCCGAAGATATGGAGACAAACCTTCAATTCAGTATAGCCTGCTATCCCAAATCCTTTGGACAAATGAAACTCAATTGTGATTTTGAATAATATCTTCACTGCTATATTATGGACAATCCAGCAACATGGATTAAATTTATGCTGTGGGCAAGGCACTCAAATCTACGAACAACTTAATCCAATTCCACCGCCCCAGAAGCATTGCTCAATCACCCAATTTGTCATTCAGAGTACATTCTTGAATTTTGTCAAACTCTGACAGACAAGAATACAACCCAAGGAATCTTAATCTAATGGCAACACTTAACCACCTAAAGATGCCTCATGGGCATACAAAGAATACTCACCGCAAGCCTAATCAAACATTAACTTTGATGATTAGTTCGATCTTCTGAGGACAACACGAATCGATATAAACACCATTGTTAGCAGGGACCTGAGCCAAGGGGATTGCCAAGGCTACAGTTTAAGTTTCACTTTTGAAGTGGTTGAAGGACTATGACATTGATGAAGGCTAGTGATAGTTGAGCTTTGGTTGAAATAATCTACAAGCGTGATGATTTAATTGCTAGTTTCATATCGTAAGGATAAACGCTATATTTTTCTAGGCTTAGATAAGTTCGTGTGGTGCTTGGGTCACTTCTCATCATATGGTAGTGGTAATGATTTAGTAACAAATTTGGCAAGCAAGGAAGTATGGAAGGCTTAATGAAAATGCTGGTCACCTTTTCCGTGAACTTCTCCTTCTTTTATGTTTTCTTTGCAGTTAAACTCTTCTCAACCCCTCATTTACCTTTTTTCCTTGTTGAAAACTTTAGAGAACTCAGTGACAGTCATTTATCATCCATCAGTTTAACCAAAAAAAATAAAAAATAAAAAATAAAAAAAAAAGAAAAAAAAGGAAAAAAGAAAAAAAGAAAAAAAGATTTATGAATAGCTGCTCTAGATTATACATATTGATAGTCGCTGAACTTAAGTCATCTTAACTGTTGTCAAGCTACTAGCTTGGCATAAAGAGGTAGAATGGCATGTGCTCTTTAAGTTTGTAATGAACACTTTTCACTTAATGCTTAGTATATTCTTTTGTTGGTTATACAGGTAAACTCTTATCCGACTGTTAGAGGATTTACAGCTATTGGAACTGGCGGTGATGATTTTGTCAATGCGATGATTGTTGCTGTTGAATCTGTACTTCATGAACCAATTCCTGAGGTTTGTTATGGTTTTATTCTTGCAAGGTTTTTTTTTTTAGTTCATGTATCAAACATTTAAAGCCACCTCTAAGATCCTTCGTTGCCATTTAAACAATGAGGACAGTTTCTACCTATTCAATAGACAAATTACCCTTAACAAAGACCATGAAGTCCCTATTTGGATTCTTTTATATGATGAAACTTACTCTGTTAACTCTTTAATTTATTTTTCCTTGGATGGTGGTGTTTATGAAAAGACTTATTCTTTTAGTTATTTTGTCTTTAGAGGAGAACTCCTAGCAAGGCACTTTAGCTAAACAACGGTATTGTTCACTTGGTTATCAATGACATCCTAAGAATGAATAGGAAGATGACATCCAAATTTTCTTCAATTGCAAATTTTATGGGTTTTATTACATAAATTGGTATCTCCCCTATTATCATTAACATAAATACATTTTTTCCGAGAGGCAAATTTATTAAGAAATGTTTCCATGTATTTTGGTAATTTTTTTATCACTTCCATCACTATTGTTACGTGCAAGAAATCAAGTCGATAAAGGGATAAATTTGGATTGCTTTAGCTGTAAAAGATTGTCTACACGCGCAATTAAAGATGTGAGTAGATTACACTATTTTTTTTCTGAAAAATCTGGACAGGGAATTACCACAGTGCTTTGACCATTTGAAACAAACATCCATAATAGGTATGAGTGAAAATGAACCTCCTTTTATTGAACTTGGAGATAGCATGCCAATGCAATGCAGGTTAGGTATTGGACAGTCCTCTAGGAGTTGAAGCAGCATATCCTGAGAGTGGCAAATATAGCCGTTTTTAAATGTTCAGAGGTGACTAATAAGTCAATAGAGTTCACCTCTTAGAGTTGGAGATGGAACAACTAATAAACGATAACAATATGTTACAGCAAGGTTGTGGATGCTACTAAAGTAGCTCTGTTCACCTTCATTTGAGATTGGGAATGTGTAACCTAAAGGTGATGACAAAGCAATGTAGGGAGGCTGTGGATGCCTATGGAATTGGTTGGATCAGTCCTTCCGGGAGTTTGAGATGACATGATTTAAAGGTGGTGATATAGTAACTTGGATAGGTTGTAGAGGTCATTAAAGGTGGCTAACTGGTTTTGTACGTGGAGATAGTACAACATAAAGATGATGACTTGGAGTCAATGATTGACATAGAGTCGACGTCTGACTTCAAGTTAGCAAGCAATTGGAAATTTATTGGACGGTCATTCTCTTAAAAGTATAGGAAACTGGGTGATCGAGGGTTGACGTGGAACTGAAGTCGACGGACGAAGCAATACTTCTCCTAAAAAGAGCAAAATTGGATAATCGGAGTTGATGATCGATCATAAGTGATCATAATGGCCTTACTCCATGATTTATGAAGACATAATATATAACATACACCAAGGAATGTCTATTGTCGGGCTACTATGGGTGTTAGTTAGCTATTGTGTTACAGGCAATCAATGAATATCTGGTGTCGTGTAACGATGCACATCGGTTAATAACATGTCTTGCGACTAATAAACGATGTGTGATTAGCCAATGGTAGGTGATCTACAGGTAGTGAGTGATGAATAAAATATGTGTTTGTTCATAACAAGCGTTGGTGATTGTTGGATGGTGTGAGACTGCTAATGGTGGGAAACTAATAGATGGTGGATATTGAGTGTCAAGAGGCATCATTTTTTAATAGTTGTTGGTTTGTACTGACCGCGAATACAAGGCGACTTATGTTATCTTGAATTTGAAGAAGGCTATTGGAGAAAGAGCTTGGTAAGGGATAAGAATTGGACTAGCGAGACTCTTGGTAAGCTTCTTGGATGATAAGCATTTAGGAGAAAGTGAGATAAAAATAACCCTAATCTTACATTGGAAGGGAACTAAATGTTATTAGGCTATATAAGTAAAATTTGAGATCAAATATTCAATGCACCTTTTTTTGACTGGATAGAGTTCCAATGGGGAATCCATAGGTAAGTGTGCTTTTTATGAATCATTCTTAGGATGAGTGATCACTTAAAAAGTTACATCAAGATGTTTAAAAATGCTAGACTTCTAATATGGGCCAGGCTGGGCGAGAGGGGACACCACTAATAAAATTTGTCTAGGCTGTTATAACTTGTGTCATATATATAATTCCTCTAATACAATGTATGGTTTGGGGTGAATCATGCATGTTAATGAGATCTCAAGGTAGCTATCCACTAAAGAAGGAAAGAAGTGATTGTTGAGTTTGAGGTCTGGCAAGGAATGGTTCTTGACTATTTTCTTGGGTGGCAGGCTTCTAAGTGAAAAGGAGGGAAGGACTTAACCTAATCTTAATTTGGAAATTTAGAAAATGTTGTTTTCCTATATAAGTAAATGTTAGACCAAATATGTGGTATAATTTTGTATACTGGGTTAAGTTCCAATGGGAATTCCATTGTTAAGGATACTAAAGATTCTTGGGATTAATGAGGGATTAGTGAGCCCTTGGAAAGTTACGCAAAAAGGGCAAAATAGCTTTGTGCAATTTGGGGTATGGTAGGCTTAGTTAATGCATACAATGCCTTATCTATTGTGGGACGTTAGAGGATCTATGAATATTAGATTGGTCATTTGGAGATTTTACAAGTATTAAGTGATTTAGAATTTCTTATGAATTTGGAATTTTAAATATGGAAAAATAAAAGAATTATGTTTTGTTTATAGGTTTTTAGCAGCTAGTTCAACTGTTATTAGGAAATATATTGGAGCTCTCTTCTTTTTTATTGGTAATGAATGCATCATATTTCACAGTCACATTATGAGAAAGTGACTGGGTGATCCCACCCTTGAGCTTATTCAATTAAGCTGACTTGGATTATGAATGGGTTACACGATCAAAGGTGGTGAACAATGTTGATGAAATCTCCGATTAATGAATATAATAGATCGTTTCAATGTTCTTAGCTCTAAAAATCTTAACATTATTGATTTATCGATATTCCAACAATCACGTTATCCAAAATAATTTTGTGTAGCTTAGGTGATCCAAATTAGAGTTATTCAAAAGTTCTTTATGCAGGGGCTCTTCTCAGTAATACTGCATCCTGCGATTTTGAAATTGTGAGACCTCACTATTGCGGGATTCCGCACGGGGCAGAATGAATCCCGTAATCGCGGGAATTTGACTTAGAATTGGATCCCATCCCGATAAAACATATTTTTGCGAGCATACAAGCTAGATCGAGCAAAATTTTCACAATACTACAAGCTAGATTGAGCTTGATTTTCGCAATTCCTCTGATAGGCGGGAATTCTTATGCATGCAAGATCTACTGACTTCTAATTTAGCTTTTCTTCCTTTTTGATTTCTTTTCTATTTCTCCAATTCTAATTTTGTTATTTTCTACGAGGGAACTATTTAGATCATGTTATTTGCTTTTTTTCTTAGACTTTTGGCTTTGTTATGAGTATTTGAAGATTGCAATCTCTATTTTTACCTTAAGGAGTGTTATATCCTCTTTCTTTTGTAAATGTGTATGTGCAAGTTTGAGTGGTGAACCTCCTTGACCTCTATACCTTGCCGTTTTGGAATTGTGTATTTGTAGCTTGTGCAAGTTTGAGTGCTGAACCTCCTTGACCTCTATACCTTGCCGTTTTGGAGTTTTCTTTGTTGTTATCAGTTGATAGCTGCCGAACAATGCCTATGCCCATCTCAACACTGTCGACTGCCCCTACTCTCCTTATCATACCACTGAATCTGCTTTCTAAACACTTTCTAGGAGCTTTAGAATAATATTATTTGATATTATAACTTGACAAACCCTAACTTTTTTAAGGATGTCTTTTTTGCCCCAAATCCAAAATTTCAAAAAAAAAAAATCTCCACCATACCCAAACTATTCCTACTACAATTCCCTAATTCTAAATTTTCAAAATTTAACATTTCCATCTTCACAATAAATTCATCTCGACACCTACCGCCGACACCTTCGCCCTTGACCAACCTTGATTTGCAATTCTAAATATGTCGGAGACCTGATTGAGGGAAAATGATGCTATGTTGCCATAGAGAAATCCATAGCATGGTGTCCTTGAATTTTTTATGGAGGGTTTGCAACAGTAAATCCTCCAACTATAACATAGGCTTATTGTTTTTAAATAGAAACAATTCAGTGAGGCCACTCATAGCTACAACGGTGACTCACTAGATCGAAAGAAGTAAATCTCTTCCATCAAAAAGTTTTTAGCAATGAAAAATCAATTTTCTGATGATTTGGCATGAAATATCAGATGAGAAGACAAGATCTTAGAATAAATGTAAATTTATCAGACTTTGATGGTCGCAGGGTCTGAATGAATTTATTAAGTAGCTCCAAACAGTGGAACATGCCTTTGAGTACAAGGACGCCTCTCCAATCATAATGGTAAAGCTAGCCATTATTAACTTAAATAAGAGTGCATCTTTGTGGTGAGAAAATTTGATGCGCACATGCCAGTGTGAGGGAAAATAATAAAATTACAACTTAATCTAAGATGAAAGGGAGATGCAATGCATGTACCTATCAGTGCATTGCAAACAAAATGTGCTCATTAGACTTCACTTACAATAAAAGACTTCTCAATAGAGGATTACTCAAATGGAGTTCGTGGTTTCTCTAAATTGATCCAAGTCGGAGAGATAGGTTTTTACTTATCCTTAGAAACATTTTCTTCTTGTTTTTCAGTTTCCTCTATCTCTTGAACTTTAGTCTCTTTTTGAATTCCAATATTTAATTCCCTTCCACTTCTGAGTTGGATAGCTTTAACTTGCTCTTTATTAGTCTCTTTAGGGTTTATCTCAGCATTGACAGGAAGAGTTCCCTGAGGCTTATTGCTAAGAGAGTTAGCAATTTGTTCCAGTGGATTCTTAGTATTTCTAATTGTAGCACTTTGACTTTGCAATTGATTCTCCATCTGTAACACACCTTTTCCTTAGACAATTGCTTCTCCTTAAATTGTTGGTTATTGTTAAAGCTAAGCTGC